CTGGGATGGCTGCAGTAATTGTAGGATGAGCCCAGCCACTTGGAGAGCCTCTGCTAACTGGTTAAATCCACTCTAGTGTCTAATCACCTGTTGGCAAACAACAGGGAAGCTGGGTTTCTTCAGCCAGCTGGCTGAGCTGCTCTTCCCACTTCCTCCCTCCTAACCTTTGGGAAGCTGTTACCCCATCATGTCAAAAGCAGTCACTTGACACTATCTCTCAAGTCAGTACTTTGCTCCTGTTTCCCCCCCTATTACTCCATCTTTTCCTTTATCTGAACTTTTAAACCCTGCGTCTGGTACAGATTTTTACAGTAACTCAAGCCTTTGAGAATTGTTAATGCCGTGCTGTTTTCACAGGAACGTTAATATGCGCTGCAAAAACACCAAGTATCAAAAGTCAGTCGTGCTTCTCCAAGGCTGAAATTTGCACCAGCTGACAGAGCTGGGCGGTAGGGTGGGGCTTGAGCAAAAACACAAAAAACAGGGACACTTATCCACTTTACAGGGACACAGACAAGATGGGCAAGGCCCCAGATTTGACCCTCTGCACACCACATATCTCTTTGCAAAGTCTATGTATGTTTTCAAATGTGTCTGTTCCTTAACACTTAAATGACCTGTATCTAAAATAACTAAAGGAAATTAATACCAGGAGCCTGGAACTGTAAAGCAACTCTTCAATAACCAAGCATTGTGTGCAAACCAACTTTCACCAAAAAAAACTAACAAAGCAGTGCAATGCAAATTAATGGTCGCAAGCAGCCCTACAGTAACAAAGTAGGGTGTGCACTTGTACCATAACAAAGAGGTGGGCACAACTCCATACTTATAAACAACCCTACAATAACAAAACAGTATATGCAACCCAGTGCTCATGGGCAACTCTACAGTAAGTAGCATCCACACGAGAGAGAAAAAATGTTTGTGTAACTCACATTGATTCCAGTTTCAAGATTAACAAGGATTTGTTATGCAGTAAAGTGGAGGGTGAGGGGGGCTGTAATAATGTAAAACACCTTGACAAATGTGACTTTAAGGTTATGTATGAGGCAAGGTAATACACCATGCAACAAACATTTCTTCATTAAAATAGTTAACAGTCTAGAAAAGAAGAAGAAAGAGACGTTTTGAAATGAAACAGGAAGTTCCCTTGAATCCTAGAGCCTTTGAAGGATTGTGAATGGAATGAGAAGTCTGTACTCTTATAAAGGCTCTGAGTTGTCATAGCATGGGGGTGGGGGTAGATGTAGGGAGGAGGCGCTTTCTGAACACACAGACATTCTCTAGCTCTCCAGTCACACACTCTGCTCTTTGTTCCCTTTTTATATTTTTTTTAACTGGAGGGGTTTTTTGATGCTGTATTTTTTATATCTAGTGTGGGTGCTAAGTGAGGCTTTGCATATGCTTTGCCAGGTCGGGGAGGGGTGGGGGTAGGTCCCAGAGTGCATGTTAAATTAGACTCAAAGGGTTTGATCCTGTTGCCTTTACTTACTAAAGTCAACAGGCGTTTTCCTGCAGCCCGAGTCCTGTAATGAGATTACTCACAGGTGGGTTCCCCTTGACTCTGCGCAGGCGTAAGATCAGGGTTGACACTTTACTGATTTCCATGCTCCACGTGTGCCCAGAGCTCAAACCGTTTTTGAGGAAGTGTTCTTGGGGTTTGAAAAAGTTTGGTTAACTTTTTTTTTTTTATTTCATTTTTGCAGCATTGCTGAGTCTTTGCTGGGACCAGATGTCTGAAACACCTTGAGAAAGTGTGTTCTGGTGGTGTTGCTGGAGCCACTGGAAACCTCAGAGGGCAACTCCTGTGAGATTTCCATTGCAGTTTTGCAAACCAAGTTTTGATCAGCATCTGAATTTGGAGGGTACCTCCCTGATACAGACCCCTCAATTTTTGCTGATGTTTGTCCCTCATTGGAACAAAACTCACTCAGCTAAATTGATGGATTGGCTCTTTTTGGCCAGTTGTATGGCCACAGAGGGACTGGAACTCAGCCCTTGGTTCCTTACAGCTGGTTGGAGGTGAAAGTTGTGCTCATTTGCTTTGGAGAGAACCTTTGAGTGACCCACTCTGGCCAGCGCTTAGTTTGTGCCAGGGCTTGCCAGGGCTGAGTCCCAGCACCTCTAGGCCTGGCAGTTCATAGCCCCAGCACCTCTGGGCCTGGCAGTTCATAGCCCTGGCACCTCTGGGCTTGCCGCATCCGTTATGAAAGTAAAAATATTGCTTGAGCCCCAGCACCTCTTTCATTACAAATTAAGCACCGCCTCTGGCCAACAATTTTGATGAGCTTTGAAGAAAATGGGGCATCATGAAGGAGAGAGGAGGAGGGTCATTGTTCATGCACAGGAGGAAAACAGGTTTCTGAGTAGCAGCCGTGTTAATCTGTATCCACAAAAAGAACAGGAGTACCTGTGGCACCTTAGAGACTAACAAATTTATTAGAGCATAAGCTTTCGTGAGCTACAGCTCAATTCATCGGAAAACAGGAGCTTCCCTCCCCCAGGAAAAAGTGGTGGTGCTAAGCTGCCTATTCATCCTGTATTATGGTCTATACAGCTTTCAGTGGGTAACCAGAAACGGCAAGATTTGTGGGACGGTTGGACAAAAAGGGATGATTCAAGAACTTGGAGATGAGGAGGGGGATCAGTAGAGGGGCCTTGAGGCAAAGTAAGGGACTGTCGTTCAGTGCAAGCTCTTCTTTGATAATTATATACTTGGGGCCAAATTTAGCCTGGTCTAAATCCCCTCAAGTCACAAGGGATGCATTTGGCCTATGACAGGTTTCAGAGTAGCAGCCATGTTAGTCTGTATTCGCAAAAAGAAAAGGAGTACTTGTGGCACCTTAGAGACTAACCAATTTATTTGAGCATAAGCTTTCGTGAGCTACAGCTCACTTCATCGGATGCATTCTTTTAGCTAAATGTGTCAGAAGCAGCAGCCTATTCTCAGCTGTGCACAGGCACCAAAAGGAGTCTGAGTAGAATCAGGGCCCAAGACTACCAAGAAAAGAACAGGGTTACAAGAGGAAATGTGTTGACATCTGCGTTTTAGATGGAGACAGGTTTAGTGTGTGTTTGTTAGCAGCATTTATCACCACTAAAGACTGAGGGGAAGGGGAAGGCGATTGTAAAGTTCCTTGAGTATTCAGTCCTACCATTTGGAGTTCCTCAATTGTTTGGCCACCAGAGAAGGAAGCTGTGGCTCTGGGACAGGCCTGTGGTCTTTAAGAGGAATTCACGCTGTTTCTTAACCCCCTGAGAAATGGAGTCTGAGAAATCAGAAATGGAAAAGACCAAAGACCTACCCCGGTAGCTCAGCTCACGTCTTGCTCACCCCCCTGGCTCCAGGGCCATCCCTAAACATTTTGGTGCCCTATGCAGCCCCCCCTGAAGGGGGGGGTGGCCTCAGGCCTCCGCGGGGGGCAGGAGCAGGCTTGGGGGGAGAGGAGAACCGCCCCCCAACACGAAACGGCGGAGTGGAGCGGGTTGGGGCCTGGTCGCTCCACTTCCTGCCGCCCAGTGAATGCAGGGTGGGCCCAACCCTGCACTCATGGGGTGGTGGGAAGTGGAGTGACCTGACCCCAGCATGTTCCACTCTGTTCCCCTGGCTCCCAGCCTTAGGGCTTGGGGGGCAGGGGAGAACTGCACCCCAGCACTCACTGGCAGCGTGGCTGGGAGCCAGGGGAGGGGAGCAGGCTGGGGCCAGGTCACTGCACTTACTGCCGCCTGGTGAGTGCAAGGAGGGCCCGACCCCTGCTGCAGTCCTCAGGGGAAGGAGTGGAGTGGGGGCAGGAAGAGGCCGGGTGGGGGCAGAGCAGGGGCGGGAGCTCTGGGGAAGGGGTGGAGTGGGGGCAGGGCTGGGGCAGAGCATGGGTGGGAAGAGGCAGGGCTGGGGCGGAGCAGGGGCTGGAGCAGCACCCAGCTAGTGTCCTGGTACCCTACGCAGCTGCGTACTTTGTGTATGAGTAGGGACGGCCCTGTCTTGCCCATTGCCTTTGGCTAACCTTTCCTTCAAGGCTATTGGAAAAGAAATAATTGAGCTGGATACTGATCTGCCAAAGCAACCAAAATCACACACACAATGTGAACACAATCACACAGGTCCTGCAAAAAAGGAGTTGTCTGCAAACTTTTGGCCACATGTCCCACGGAGCATGTGTTTGGTGTGTCCTTAATTTTAACATCACTCCCACCAACGTTAAAATCAGGGAGGCTCTGCATCATTTAGAAAGTTTCAGTCATGGAAAATCAGAAGCTGGCCGCTTCTGTGTGCATGTGGATTTTCTTTGAAAGCCTCGCTATTAAAATAAACAAAAGAAAGATAATCCAACCCAGGTTATAGCAGTGAGCTGTTTTCAGCTGATGGCTGTTGGATAGTCTGTGCTAAATGAGCTGATTAGTTCAGTCCAATTCCTATTAGACATCCCAGCTAGCGCTAACTGGTGGTGGCAGGAGAGAGGCCAAAACCTGTGTGCCAAAACTCCCCTCTCGCTCCTCAGGGTGGTCCCACCAGGTCAGAGTAGAGATACACAAGTGGGGCGAGCTTGAATTGCCCCTACCTATGCTGTATCTGCTCTGTGAATAAACACAGATCTTCAGTCTGCAGGGTTGTCTGTCGGGCACCTCTCGCCATTCCTAAATACACCTTAAAGAGAATACAAAGAAATCTCATTCCTCAGAAAAGGCTCTAACAATAGGTGGGAAAAGAGGGGCAGGGGGACTTGGAGTTTTGCTGCTTTCAGCAGCCTTACACCTAAGCGGCTTGAGCCGGACTATTCCCAAAAGTCCCAGGCAGGATAATAAACAGAGCAACAGCAGCTATTCATGGGGCTCCGACCCTGACTAGGTAACTACATAATGAGCCTGTTTGAATTGCTCCCGTTCCTGCCAAAGGGGTGGGATCAGGGGATGCTTTTGTTTGCAATAATGAACCTGTAATTATGCTACATTTCTTGGTTTTAGCCACATTTTTGTGTGTGTTGTTCTCTTTGTATTGACAGATTTATGGCCAGGATATTCTCCTGCACCAACTGCAGTATGACACTGTGTGGAGACTGTCTGACGCAACCTGCTTCTTCTTTAAAAGGTGTGGCGAGCGGGATGGGGGGGCCTTTGTGGAACCTCAGCTTGTTAAGGATTAAACAAAAAATAAAGTCTCCCCACCACTACCACCACCACCTTTCCAAAAGCCACAGGTTTAGAAAGGCAAAAAGGTTTTGTTCTTCTGTGCCCCAGGTGAATAATAATTAATAATCGTTTTTTAAAAAAATCATGAAACCAAATAAATAACACACACCAGTTTTCAGCTCCAAGGCGCTCAGTAAAATTACCCTTTGAAATGCAAGGATTAAGCTGGGTAGGTGACAAGGTAACTTTGTTAACAGGCTAATCTCTCGCTTTAACAGAGAGGGGATTTTGTGCAACTGCACAAAACTGCTTTACAGTCACTTTTTAAAGATGGAAGTGGTGGTGGGGGGTGGGGAGGGTAAGATGGGCCAGCAGTGGACATTTTAAAGCCATTTATAAAATGGGTTTAGACTAGAGTTTTCTAGGAGGCCCCTGGCTGTAGAGATAAATCATTGGTAAAAATGTTATGAATGGCATTTCTTTCTGGATAGTTTCTTCTGCTTTCCAGTTAAAGGCTCACTAGAAATACAAGTTATCCCAAGGAATCTTTTCAGGTTCATTTTTGAACTAAACCCTTGCCTCAGATCTCAGCACCTCTGAACCTGGAAGGCATTTGAATCCGAAATCAAATCTGGATCCAAATGTTGCCAATGGCCCCTCTTTTAAGGGATAGAATAACAAAAATCCAGATCGTAAACCTCCTGCACTTTGGAGAAATGTGGTGGGGAGGGGGAATTAAATGAAATAGGCCCAGATCCACCAAAATGGTTTTCCTCTGAATTTTAAGGCCACCACCTAAACTCTCTGGACAGACACTGCTGCACAATCCAAACAGACACACACATACACATTGATATTCCTCCCTCTCGTGTGGGGCAGAGACTGAGTAGTCCCTGCTGTACATACTAAATCTCTCTGAGTACTTGGCCTGGGTCTCAGGGATCCTTTGTTAATTCACCCTGTTTGAAATTGAGAAAGTTGGGTAGAGAAGCACTCAGAAGTCCAAGTCTTCTCCAAACCTCTTTGGTTTTGGGTTAAAAAAAAAACAACTGACCCGAACCCTCATCTGAAATTCGAACAAAACCTGAAGTCTGAACATTTTCTGAGGTTTGAAAAAGACTGGGGCATGATTTATCATTTCATTTCCATAGCACTCTTGGGCTTCCTGCTTCTGGCTAGGCCTGCAAGTAGAAGTGCTGAAATACCGGGGGGATGTGTCCCTGTGAAGTTTCCAGCCCAGTTTTACCGATGCAAGATGCTTGGACAATCAGGATCATTTTCAGCTAAGATTCCAGGCTCCTTGGGTGAGCATAGATGGGCTTTAGTTAAAGCACCAGGATTGAGATTCAAGAGATATAGGTTCTGTTCCTAGCAATGCCACTAATTCATGATGAAACCAGGAGCAAGTCAGTTCACCTTTCCATATTTGTTTCCACACCAGTACTACAAGGAGAATGATGTTTGCCTCCTTCACAGGAGAGTTACGAGTCTTAATGCATTAAGAATTTAAACACATTTTGAAATTGTTGGACATAAAGTACTGCTACTAATAATAATTAATAAAACATCCTTAATAATGGCAAGGTGTTCTTCTTTGAACCAATCCTCCAAACCTCAAAGGCCCAGTCTCCTCTGAGTTTTCAGACTATGTTAACACCTTCTTAGGGAACCATGTTTAAACACTCAGCAGCGGATCTCCTAAAAAACAACAAAAGGGGCAGATTACAAACAAAAGTGTTGAAGGGTCCCAGAGCTGTCTGTGGGCAAATTAGGGCCAAATAAAGGTCAAAATGATTCCGGACATCAGGAAGAAAGAGGGAAGGGAAAAGAATGAGGCAGGTTTGGTTATAGAATATGTTTGTGTCATAAAGTTTTTTTTGTTTTGTTTTGTTTTGCAATCTAGTGATGCACTAACTAACCTCTTTACACTGAGAACAAAATATCATCCTAATGCAGGCAGGCACAACACCTTCCTAAATATATTCCGTGTCATTGTAGATAAGGCCGAATGTATTGTAACACAATTTGCTGAACTGTTACAGCGTTGTCCCAGACTTCTGTGAGACCCTGCCTAGACCAGAAAGTGTATTTAGTGAACTGGTTCAGGCTAACTGAGGGTCCCCCTTCGTTATTCACTGTGTCAGGGGAAGTGATTGTGCCACGGTATCCCCCCACCAAAGATCACCATGTCCAAAGCTTTGGCACAGTTTGAGGACACCTTTAAAGCATGGCTGGATCCTATCACCCTTACACGGAACTGGGTTTTAACATTGTTTGGAGGAACAATTCTTGTCACTGGGTCCCAATGACATGACTGTATTCTCGGCATAGATGATGCATCAATTTAAATGTGGACTAGATTTTTCCAATCCTACAGATTTCTAAGCACTGACTGAGGTTGAGAGGTGTTGGTATGGCTAGCACAGTTTGAAAACCCCAGGTAGACTGCATCTCTGAGGTTTGTCCATCAGTAGTTTAAAAAAATAATTAACATTGTGCACACAAATATATTCTGTGGCTGATCCTGGCCCGTTGTCTCCCTTCCCTCTCCTCATTCCCTAAATCATTTTGACCTTTAATTGGCCCTAATTCGCCCACAGACGGCTCTGGGACCCTTCAACACATTTGTTTGTAATTGGCCCCCTTTGTTGTTTTTGGAGAGATCCCCGCCTGGATTTTTTTTAACAGTGCAATATCTCATTAGAGTGGAGCCGCTTTTAAATTAGCCCTGCTGGGGGCAAGGGGAGTGCTGTGAAAAGGCCTAGCAGAGAGACTCGGGGCTATCTAAATGCAATTATCACATCACTGAGAAAATGTAAAAATGGCCTGAGCTTAAACAAACATCACACGCCCCTCAACTGGAGGGCGGTAAATACTTTGCTTAGTGCTGCCAGGTTTAACACCGCAGATGGGGTCATTCTTTGATAGCCAGATTATCCAAGCAAAGCAGTGAATGTATCTCTAGCCAGCTCAGGGCAACTCAGAACAGGGCACTGTCTATACTTCAAATAGAACCATGTTGGGGAGCCTCGATACAATACAGTTGTCCCCTATACCTGTTCATAGCATAGCCTGGATCTTAACCGTCCATGGTGATAGCCAAGCTAAAACAGCACAATTAGGTACAATCCTATACTACATCTTATAACTAGGTCAAGGGACAACCATGTTGTAAATGAGCTCCCTGACTTAGTTATAGTTGTATTGTAGACAGCACTTAAGACCTCTCGATTGTATTTCATCAAGTTAAAGAAATCTTGCCAAAGCACTATTAAACTCTTGTGCCAAAACCACTTACAAGATCTGGCCAGTCAATGTGAACAGGTTTGAACCAGTTACAAAGTATCTTCTAGCCTAGGGACTCAATTTACTGCTGAAGTAAATGCACAAAGCTGCATGGGCTTCATTTGAATTTAGCTCTAGGTCTTTATTGGGGCAGCAGCATGGCTAGTCAAACATGACTTGATACCATCAACGGTGGCAAAACTGGTTCAGCCACAACAGATGGTGTATGACTAACCCATGTTGACTAACCCATATTAAAATCCTAGTGGAGACAAGGCTGCTGTAGTTTTAACGCATTAGCTAGTCACAGTAAAGCCTACGCTCCCCCACTAGGGTTTACCAGGATTTACCCAAGTTAAAACTACAATTGCCTTCTCTAGGACTGTAACACAACTTAGTTAATATGGGTTTGCTTAACACGAGTTAAAAATACATTTTTCCTACTGAAGACATAAGGTAAGGCTATGTCTTCACTGCTGAAAAAGGTAAGGTTTTTGCAGTGAGATAACTCGTGAATGTTAACTGTCCCACTGTACAATCCTCGTGGAGTCAGTGCATAGGTAGCTTTTACTGCCATGTAGCTAGGTGAGATCAAAACTATTTCCCCCAAACTGGGGTTGACCTCCCCATGCCACATCAAGGTAAACATGACAGGGCCTTGTCTCCACTGGGATTGTACATTAAGATAATGATCTCGAGATAGTTATTGCAGTGAAAAAACACATGCCTTTTTTGCAACGAAGACAAAACCCCAGTCTCACTTAAGCATGGCTGTTAAATTCTAGCTGTGTAGATGATTTTAGTTAAAGCCAGCGTAGATGGGTCCTTGCAAACAAGTAGTGGCAAACATCTAGCCTACGTGCCAAACGCAGCTCACTCTGTTCTTCAGTGTAAATGAGTGCCTTAATAGTTGTATAGGTTGGGTTGTATATGCTGTGCTACTTCTCGATCTGAGTGGACTGCCCAGCCAGCATTACTGCATGCTGGAAGCTGTAATCTCTGATGGCCAAACCGTCCTATTAAACACGAAGATGCTGGAATCTGCTCCATTTCATGTGAATGAGGTGTGGCCCTTGGACCACAGTAAATTAGCAGTGGGACTCTGTTACACTGACTTTGGGCATTGTCCCTGCATTAGATGATATGCCACCAAAGGTGCTGTGAAGCAGCCTAATAGCTAAGGAGAAGGAATCCATCAAGGTGTTTTCTCTCCCATTTTTAACCACTTCCTTTTCTGGAATGGATGGCTCTGTTTGGCTCTGCCATATCAGAGCTTCCAGAGGCCAATGCAGCCCCAAAAACTTTTTATTTTAAAAGCTGTAGGGACTGAGGGTTTTGTCGGTGTGACTGGAATTTAGATTTCAGTCCAATGATGGGTCTGTAGTCTTAGAATTAAAATGGGGGGGATGTATTTCGGAAGATCCAATAGAGACAACAGGCCTGACTGTGAAGACCACATGCTCAGTGGCATTCATCAGTAGGGATGGGCAAATCTGAGACGTTCAAAGGTTTCGTTTTGGATGAGCAGCTGAAAACTCGGAGGCCATTGCCCAGCCAAAGCAGTTCTAAACTCTTTGAATCTTCATAACTGGGCTGGAAAATTGTCTCCATAGGGCAAAACTGGGCTTGCAATCTGTCTCGTTTGCTTCCAATTGGACTTTAAATTGCTTGCAAACATTTCCTGTGGTATTCTGGCACTTCTGCTGGTCCTGGCTGGGACTTGGGAAATTTTATTTTATTAAAGTAGTACCCTGAGACTCCAATCATGATTGGGACCCCCTTGTGCCAAGTGCTGAACAAGCGTCTAAGGAGAGACAGCTCCTTCCCAAGCATGTACAATCCTGCACACTCTTATGCCCATGAGTAACTTCATGCAGAAGAGCAGTCCATTTGAGCTCAGAGGCTACACATGTCCATTAAGTTACTCACATTACTCAAGTTACTCAGCCCTGGGCCTCAGCAAGTCTAAGCCAGCCCTGGCGACCCCAATGAAAGGGGGTCGCGACCCACTTTGGGGTCCCAACCCACAGTTTGAGAACCGCTTTATAAATAATTGCAGGGTCAAGGCGCTGTTATTTATTTGTTTGCCTTGCCTGTTTGCTAATTTAAGTTTATGTTGAAGCTACAGATGTTCTATTTATTTTTAACCCTTTTCTACCTTTTATTTCTTTCAGAAGTTAACCTCTGGAATGTTCAAATTGAGTCCAGTTTCCCCCTGGAGCAGAGATGGGTCTGATCTGGATCCAAACTTCCCTAATGATTTAGTTTGAGCCCATCTCTAGTTTCAAATGACTGTTTGGAGGGGAAAGGTGATTTGGTTTTTATGCAAACTGGTTGGCTTGTCCCTGCTCCCAAGCTGCCTTCTTTTCCATAATACTGGTGTGACCTGCTCTTGTTATTTCAGTGTCACACACCCATTAGCCCTTAAGCCCAGTACAGCATTTGTGCTGCATGTCCTGCTGAGTCAGCAACTGGAGCAGCAGTCCCGGCCATAAGGAGGGCAAGAAAAATAAGAAGCTTGAACTTGCCAGTGCTCCTCAAACAGGACCTCCAAACCCAAAGGCTGCATGCTGGCCTGGGCAAAATGAGCACATGGTCTTAGTCCAGTGGTTCCTAGTGGGCGGGTGTCCGCATCACAGAAGCCATTATTATAAATAGCACCCTTTGATGGCATTCTCATCACAGAAGCCAAGGATTGAATTGGCCACAGAGTAAAAAAATTCCCTTTAGCTCAGTGATGAGGCACTTTGGCAGGAGAACAGTGGATGGGGGAAGTTTGTGCAGCCCATCCTGTACCTGTTCTGTGTATATATACAGAGGGCTTCAGTCTCCACGGCTGTAGCACTAAAAAAACTGCCCTTAGAGGTTTAAAAAAAAAAAAAAAAACAATCTAAAGAGACAGGCAGGAAGAAGTCACATTTTTCCAAAATATCCAGTGCTGAATTCGGGAAGGCTGGAAGAAGGCCAAACAGCTACAACGATGGAAGAAAGTTTGGGGAACTTTCACTGGAGTGTTCAGAAAAGTTTTTCAAAACTGCTCTCCCCAGCCTGCAGCAGGAGAGAGAAAACCTTGGTGGGCAGAGGAGAAGCCGCTGCTGCCACCCCCTCCTTTTCTTGCTGCCAGATAAAGAGGACAGACTCTCCTTTTTCAGCCCATTCTGGTCACACAATGGGAGAAGGGGATCAGCGCCAAAATTACAAGTGTGAGCCCTTAATGCATCAGGTTGAACAATAGGCTTTGGAAGCGTCTGTCTTGTCGAGAGAAGCAGTACAGCTAGTTCTGGCCATTCAGTGCCATGGAAAAAAAGCTCATTGTCCTGGTGAAAAACTCCCTCGAATGAAAACACCCTCCTCCTCTTTTCTTCAGCTTCCTAATGGGAAGCAAAATAACAAACCAGGCCCACAATTAAACAAACATGCCACTAACTGAGCAGAGCTCAAGTGTAACAGATGTTGTTACAGTTAGTCCAGGCTGGGGCAGGGAGGGGGGGAGCTAAACTGTGCAGTGTCTGGCTGTGGTTACAGAGACGCTGTCATTGTAGGGGTTTCCTTTGCTGCTTTGTGTTTTCCTTCCATCTCTTTCTCTTTCTCCTCCTTTTTCTCTTGTACTCCTTTCGCGCTCTCTCTCTCTCTTTCCATTTCTGTCTCGTCTCTTCTGCCTTGTTTTGTTCCAACACCTCGTTCATTGCAGATGTAGATTTATGTTTTTTAACAGTAGAAACACTGATTAGGTTTCAGAAAATCTAAGAGGAAGGAGAAACTGTTTGAATGGATCTTTTAGGGTAGGATGGCTTTTATTACCACAAGGGAACTAGCTCCATCCCCTTGTTAAAATGCTCTCTCTGTTAGGGTGCTCTGGCACAGAGAAATGCCAGCAGGTCTTGGTTCCCAGTGAATTTGAGATCCCATTATAAAAAACACGCTTTTAAAATATAGGCCAAATTCTGCACTCATACCAGTGTAAATCCCGAGTAGTTCCATTCACTCCTCCTCAGTGTAAGTGAGAGCAAAACTTCATCCTTCCTCTTTAAGACATTCAAAATGGTCATGTTCTGGTGTTTTCCTTGCCCACAAGAAAGCTGGTTCGGGGTTTGAGTCCAGGGCTTGGATTTATACCCAATCCTGACACTGCAGGGGCCACTACTTTGTTAGATGTGGGTGAGACCATCCATCTGAGGTTCTGTCCGTGTGTAAATTTAAGATCTTAGATCATAAATGGAGGTGAAATAACTGTGAGGTCCTGGCCAGTATTCCCTGTATTAGCAGACCAGGTTCTGTGACCTACCAGCAAAGCTACAGCAAAGTGCATTATGGCTGCTTTGCTAGTAAATAACTCACATGTGCTTTGCGATCTCTCAAGTATAAAAGATGCTAAAGGAAACAAAATTCTATCCTCTTTCCATTTTCACACACAAAACTTTCTGGATATGGAAAGAGTCTCGTTGGAATGTTGTGGGCAGGTTTTATTTCTACCTGGGAGGGTACATACATCAGGCATTTGAAAGTCAGAGAAACGTTGAACATTAGCAATAAATAAATGCAGAAGTGAGGGAAGGTGGTTATTTATTTATTTATTTATGAATTTGCATTCTGGCAAGTACTTCGTGTGATACATTTTATAGATTTCCAGAAGGCTTTAACAGTGAACACAGAGAGACCGTCTTTCGATAATTATGGCATGTTATGGAAGACCTACAAAAATAATTAGAATAATCAAGGATTTTTATGATCCATGCCAAATGTGCAATCAGAAATTATGACGTCATCTGCCAATGATTTGCCGTGGAACCTGGAGTAAGGCAACAAATAGTATGTCCAAACTATTGTTTAAACTATTCATTGACTATGTCATGAGGAAAGTAATTGCAGAAGGCAACTGAGGAATTTTGTGGACAAATTATAAAGCATAATTGGATGACCTTGTTTTTGCTGATGACATTGTCCTGCTTTGTTCAACACACAACTTAAAGGAATAAAAAGACACAGCTTTTGGCAGATACAGCAAAACAAGTTGGTTTGTTTATCAACAAGGGGAAGACAAAATATATGGCTATCAGTTTCCCAAAAGTAACCATTAGAATGGATGAAAAAACACGAGAAGAAGTCATTTTGCTGATCTCGGGAGTGAGATGTGCTGTGACGGTGACTCCATGCTGGATATCAAGCAACAAATATCAAAAGCATCAAAAAACTTTCCTGAACTTGAAAAGATTTGGAAAAGTAGTATGATTGAAACAGACAAAATAATGTGAATGTTTAACACCGGCATCATGTCTGTCCTCCTTTATGGAGCACCGTCATAGAAGTCTACACCAGAAATTGATAAGAAAATCAATTCATTCCAAAGTAAATGCCTGTGGAAGATCTTCAGAGTCCATTGGAAAGAGTTTCTTGCACCATCAGAAATGTTAAGTAGAGCAAACTAATCTAAAGCATCAAATGTGGTAAGAAGATGATGAAAGATATATTTGTCATGTTTTAAGGAGGCCACCAGCATGACTTCCATGCAAGTGATAATGCATGCCACTAGGAAAGAGAAAAGAGGGCAACCTAGAGATACATTAAGCAGAACAATAGAGAAAGAAGCCAAATCCATCAACATGACACTCAGAAGCCTGCACAGACCAGCATAAGACACGCCTTCCCCCCCCCCCCCCCAATGCCAGAAATCAGCAGATGCCCTATGGACCTGAGGGCAAAGGAAGATAAGGAACATTCTGGTAGCACCTAAAGGGTGTGTTTTATTTTTTAAAATGTATTTACGCTTACGAGAGAAGGGGACTGAAATTAGCTGGCTAGAGTGGGACACTCTGTGATCTGGTGTTTTTCAGGCTTCCCCCATAACGTTCTGACAGTATCCATCCTGTCTGATTTGTGGCACTCCCTGCTGTTACAATCCAGCTTCACACTCACCCCTCTCTGACAGTGCAACTCAGTCCTCACCCTCTAGCACAGTGAGACTCAGACTGAGGCGTGCGAGCTACAAATGGCTCTTTAATGTGTCTCCTGCAACTCTTTGCAGCACATGATATGAAAACACTGTGTGACTTACCGTAATTATTAACCAATCTACATTATTAACCAATCAGGATGCTTTTACTATTTAATTAACCAATTGTAGCTGATTATATGTATGTCGTTCCGCAAGGACAGTTGTACCAGGTTAAACCACTGCCAAACCCTCTGGGAAACAACATTTGCACTTTGTCCTTTTCCTCCTCTCCTCTCTTACAGGCAAGAAATATGCCATTACAGAGGGTGAAGTCAGAGCTATGTCACTGTGTCATTTTTCTCTTGCTCAGCTGCCCTGGTGAGCCTGAGCCAACCTCTCTTTCAGGCTGAGGCTTTCATGGCTCTGATGCAGTTGATGACTGGAGTCTTTACTACAGCTGAGCTTCTTAATCCCTAAGTCCCCATCTGGCAGTGACTGAGACGTTTGGCAGCCCAGAGCCTCGCATTCCTCAGCTTTTCTGGGACAGTATCTCTGTCTGGGAGAGCTGGAATCAGCAGCATTCCCTTAAAGTCTGTGGCAAAGAGAACAAAATAATTTGGCAGATCATAGAGCTGGGGCCTGGTTGCCCTCTCTCTCTGGATGTGTTTATATCAGAGAGCCGTACCATACTAGTTGAATCAGTGGGATTGCACCATTGCAAGATGGAATGATTCAGTGAATCCACACTAGCCCTCTTGCGTCGGGTGCACACAATGCTTTGCGCCCCACAAGCACTCTCTGCCAGAGTTGCAGGGCCTCTGGTTTGTCCACCTATCCCACGTGCTCAGCACATCTCCCTAGGGCAAGTGTATAATATCTATGGCCTATGATATCTATTTGCACCTGTCCACATTTTTGGTTTATTGCTTTGCCTGCTTTGAATGATTCTGCCCTGTATGAGGATTCATGCTTGCACTCTGCGGGGGAGGAACTAAGACCCTGCTACTCCCTCATCTTGCAGATGCAATGGTAGAGAATCTCTAATTACCTCCAGGCCCTCTGCCAGCCCACCTGTGGGCCTGAAGACCAATGCAATATTAACATAAGCTTGAGGAGGTAAGGTAAGCTGCTTCTGTGTCTGTCTAAAACAGGGGGTTGGAGGAGAACTCAGGTCTGCCCAGAAGCGGGGAAAGAAGGCAGTTGGAGGCTGGTCTGAACCAAGAGCAGCCAAGGACTTCAAGCAGGGAGTGTGACACAGTAGTGGAGGAAAAGCTGGTTAGCCTTGGTCAGAGTGTGTGCATTCCGCCTGGTAGTGTGAACACCTGTACGCCATAGGTAGTAATTGTGTTGAGGACATGTGGTATGCAAGGTGTATGCTAGTATAGACAAGGCCATGCTTTGTTCAAGCTAACTGTATATTTATTTGTTGAGATCCATAGGCAATAAAGAAATAAAAACAGAGGCAATGTTGCCATAAGCACCAGATCAATTATTTAGCTGGGAGGTTAAAGACCCATAAATGGAGGAAACAGGGAAGTTTAATAAAGTTGCGCAATCCAATGGTCTGTTCTGACAGTTTTGTTGCTGGTGGATAATATGGGGCCCTGGAAACATTTGGCCAAAATCACTTCCTGTGTGTTTTGCGTTTTCAAAGAGCTGGTTGCAAACTTGCGAACTCTGCAACTCCAGTCTTGCAAACTCTATATCACCATTTCATTGGCTATGAGCGACTCAGCTGTGGTGCCCTGTAGTCCAGTGCTGACACTTGTCACCAAGTTTCTTGGAGAATGTTGAGTGATACTTCCCTTCTTCAAACAAAACTGCAGACAACAGAAATCCCACTAGAACCAAACAAATTTGCTATCGAAAAACCACCCTGGCAAACAATTTCAAACTACTCAATCTGCAGTCAAAAGCAAAGATCATGAGGGCACCAAGGCTAAATTACTGACAAGCATGTGACATATCAATTCACATTTCACATGAGAATTGTTGCTGGTTTGCTGCCATTTACAATGAGATGAAGTATCTCAAGTAGAAAGTTAAACCAGGGCGCTGGTTTTGACTTCCTGTCTTTTTCACAGGTGCGCGCGCACCCTTTAGGGGAGAGAGAAACCATGCACAATTTTTGCAGCAGAAGTTTTAAACAGGTTTGTGCTGAAGTTTGGTAAAATGACTGGGAACTTCCCCAAGTGGATAGGAAGGCATCAGAATTTGAAAAAACTGGGAGAAAGAGAAAAATCCTGTCCTAAAAACCATTAATGAAATGTTTAAAGTATTTGATGCCCGTTTTACCACCACACTTTTACACCTGCACACGCATGCACATGGTCACAGCCGGCATCTCTCGCTTGTGTTATACAGCTCACTCATGCAGAATTTTAAACCTAAAGCCAGGGAAGATGTTATCTATTGTTAAAACAATGAAGCTAAATCCTTCGTTATTTTAAGCTTCCTCCTGAAATGATACCCAAATGAGGGACCAAAGGAAAGTATTGGGCAGAAAAACTAGGGCTGTGAATGACATGGCTCTTTCCTCAGCCCTAAGCTACCAGAGCTCCTCAGTCACTTTCTCGTCAGGTGATAAAGAGAGTCAGGGCCAACTAATCCAGCTAGGAAAAGATCTAGCTTAAACCTTTTCACCGAACGTGAAGGGAACCTTTTCTGAGATTTGAGAAGTTTGGCTAATTCTCCCCCAACCCCACTTTGTTACTTCTGTTGCTGCTCTGTCTTCTGGTTTAATTCCCATCCAAGACAGAAGTGGAAATGCCAATATATCACAAAAGGTACCTGTTCGTACAAAATGTCCTAGCCAAGTGGAAGCAGAAGTAATGGCCACTTCTTATCATATGTTCACACCCAGGTTAGAAAATCTAAAATGTTTGCTCATGGGGATAAACACCCAAACTTTTAAGATCTTATCTTGTGTGGTCTCATAGACACTGTGAGGGACTAGCAGTCAGAAAACTGTCTGACTGTGCCACTGATTCACTGTGCGGTGTGTCGCATCTGCCTCAGATTCCTTGGGCCGTAATCCAGGTCCTCCAGCACCAGACAGGCTGCAAAGCTGCCCTAAACAGGCAGCCGGCGATTTCCTGGAGGGTGGGAGGCAAATCCCTGTGTGGCTTAGAGCCAGGGAAGAGCTGGGAGCAGGAAGGGACATGGCCAAAACGTACTGTCTTCAGCAATTCCCAGCTGCTGTAACAGCCCCCTCGAGAGCTGTTAGAAAGTGGAATAATTCAGAACAGCCCTGAGGGACTGGGATGAGTGCAAAGATGACATGCAGCCAGTTCTGTCCCCATCACAGGTCCTGAGCCAAGCTTGGCTTGGCCAGGCAAAAAGAATTGGAGCCCATAAGCGTAAAATGGGGATATAAGGTTGCCTATATAAAAAGGTTTGGAGTCCTCAGATAAGAAGTACTAGAAGTGTGAAGTATTATTATTAATTCCCATTATATAAATTGCCCATCCCCAAACCTGATGGTTGTTTCCCATGACAGATCTATTCCCTCCCAACTGGTCCTGCCCCCAGAGGTGAGCGGCTTATCTTTCATTGGACACTGGTTCTGGGGAGCCATGTTCAGTGTCACGGACTGGGGTACCCTTGCTGGTTTTGGATGCCAAGATTCAGAGATAAGGTACCGCGTTTGGTGTGACCCCTTTTATTGGCTGCTGCAGCTGAACCAGCTGAGGGCCAGATCTAGTGTTCAGATTTTAGCATCCCTGTGGTTATTCTTGGGAGTTTGCTACCTCCCCACACCCCTCGAAAACCAATTAGTTTTGGCATGTCATCATGGCCTCATTACGTATTCATCCAGCATTAGGACAAGAAGATGTAGTATCATCTCTTCATCCCTTCCCCCCTCCAGCTCTGTGCTGCTGCATGGGGCAGCATCCACAATGCATCTCACCTGTCTGCGCCTAAAACCATTCTTGCTGGGCCACTATCAAAGCTCTCAGTGGGAGAAACTCCCCTCTGATCCCACAGTTACAATTCAAATGCTGTCAGGAAGCTAAGCTCTGAGGTCCTTACTGAGTCAAAACTCCCTTTGGTACTGAGTAAGGTCAGGATTTGTCCTAAGATATCTAAACTTACAGCACTAAAAGAAGCATCATCATCATTACCTAGTCTCCAGTGACTGGTATGTACAAAGTTTTGGAATACTCCACTTTTCTTAGTCAGGCTTTGATGACTACTTGCTTTTTATGATTACCTTTAGTGTTATTTTTATAAATTCCAAAGCCAGAAGGGACCATTGTGACCATCTAAACAGACCTCCTGTATAACGCAGGCCATTGGACTTCCCAAAACAATTCCTAGAACAGATCTTTTAGAAAAGCCATCCAATCTTGAGATTTAAGGCTCTGACTAATTGCAGGGCAATGGCCAGGTTTATAACACAACAGTGTGTAGCCTGGAGCAATCTCTGCTATAATTACACTGTATAAATTCCCCCATTAGAAATGACAGTGCATTGGCATAGTATACAAAGCAGCCATGGCCCAGTCAGCTGGCTCTGTGAAAATCTGTCTGACAATTGTTTTCCCTTCTTGGTATCTGATTGACACTTGGTACAATGATGAGACTGTTATATGACAATGGATAGAAGCCACAGGCCTTGTGGAGTTTCTCATTGCAGCTGCAGTGTAGTCAATTTCATGAGTTGGTTTCTCTACACTAGGCCACCTTAAGTTTTGATCACTCTGATGGATAAAACCAAA